GCTCCTAGGGGCTCCTTCGCTACTAGGAGCAAGGACACTACTAGGGGCGCTCCTGGCCTTACTAATTACTAGGAGCAAGAAGCTCCTAGGGGCTCCTTCGCTACTAGGAGCAAGGACACTACTAGGGGCGCTCCTGGCCTTAGTACTAGGAGCAAGAAGCTCCTAGGGGCTCCTTCGCTACTAGGAGCAAGGCCGCTACTAGGGGCGCTCCTGGCCTTAGTACGGAGCAAGGATACTACTAGGGGCGCTCCTGGCCTTAGTACTAGGAGCAAGAAGCTCCTAGGGGCTCCTGGCATCGCTACTAGGAGCAAGGATGCGACTAGGGCTCCTGGCCTTAGTACTAGGAGCAAGAAGCTCCTAGGGGCTCCTGGCATCGCTACTAGGAGCAAGGACACTACTAGGGGCGCTCCTGGCCTTAGTACTAGGAGCAAGAAGCTCCTAGGGGCTCCTTCGCTACTAGGAGCAAGGACACTACTAGGGGCGCTCCTGGCCTTACTAATTACTAGGAGCAAGAAGCTCCTAAAAGCTCCTAGCATCGCTACTAGGAGCAAGCATGCTACTAGGGGCACTCCTGGCCTTAGAGGGACCTGACAGGGACCTGGGAGGGGCCGAGAGGGGCATGTGTCAGTTGTTTGCTGGGAGGGACCGAGCAGAGAACTCCAGGTGCTCAGCGTCATCGACTTGGAAAAGATCACACCCTTGCAAGCGATATTCGAGCAAAAGGCCAATGCAGCTGCCGGGTTCAGCGGTGTATTTAGGCAATTTCAGAGGAGTGCTCAGGTGACAGTAATGTATTCTGAAAGCCTTTGGAACCTTTTCTTCAGGGCGAAGTTGACCTGGAGAACTTCGTGGTCATCATGAAAGGGCAATTCCAACAGGCTTGAGAATAATTAACAGAAATGACAAGTCTATGGCAGTGTATGATTCTCTCGGACTTTGAGATCTCCCCTGGAAAGTAAGAATTTGGCATTGCAGAGCAGATGCTTTGCAGGTCTTTGAATTAATCGACCTCTTCGAGCTCTATGAAGATGTGCCCTGCTGAGTATCGACTAAATCGGTCGACCTGGACTGCGCGGGACTCGCACGACTCGAACCAAGGAACGCAAAATCATCAGCCAACTCGTCAACCTCTTTGAGCCTCGGATGCAGAAATCAAAGACTGAGAAAGGTTGGAAGGGAGATTGCTAAGATTCTGTTCTTAACGTGGTATTTCTGGACGGACTGCAACACAATGCACCTCTGTACAATTGCAAGCACAATTGCATGTATTACTCTGCAGGGAGCTTGTCAGTTGCTCAGACCAAGGATGCAATTGATGTTGATTGCAACGGAAGCATGACTTGGGAGGCCTGATTCAACCAGATTCAATTTGATTCTTATAACTATAACTTGCGTATAACATTTTGTTGGGATTCCGATCGATGACAGCAATGCATTGTTTTCCAAGCAAGACGTTTGGATATTTTGGATCTCAAGTGAGAGCACGACAGGAATTCACTGCCTTCTTGGTGGATCAAGGTATGGCGGAGGTGCAATCTGTCAAAGGGCAAGAAGACATGGCGTTCTTTGGGACGTAGCAAGTAGAAATGCCTTTGTTACTAGTAGCGATGCCCTTGTTACCAGTAGCTTCTAGCTACAACAAAAAAGTGCTTAATTGATCCGATCCTTTTTGCTTTCCGTTTTGGAGCGGCTACAGTTCCGGATGATCAGGATGTGCCACAACAGTACAACATCATCCGTTTCAGCCAGTTAAGAGCTCAACTGTTGACGTGCCAGTTCTTTAAAATGCATACCATTCGAAAGCAACACTACTCATCACACCAGGTCTCCTCTGAAAGACGGCAATGGGCACCAATCGCACTGTGAGAAGGCCTATTTGTACTACGGGACTCAGCAAGTTTGTCATGCTTGATGCTACATTGAGTCCTTTTGAGCGGCTGTACGAGACCTCTGCCAGGTTGTTTATCTCAAAGGCTATGACAAGATCGCCTTCGTAGAGCAGGGCAGCAAGTGCTTGAAATTGCGCCTCAAAGGAAACGCTATTTCGATCACCCATGGGACAGGAACCTTCATGGAAGTATCCATGTGTCATGTGTTGTCTAGGAACCATTGACCCGGTCGGAACTGTCCTTCAAGGAACAAGACCTAGATTTCATGAGATTTCACTTGAGATGTTTGTTCTATTGAAGGTGCAGCCCTGATATGCAGCCCTACTTGGACATCAGAGACTTCACACAGACTCCGCTGTGCGCAGAGTTTGTTGAGAAGTGCGCCACCACCATGGCTTGCAAAGCTTTCATTTGACTTGGCGTCACCTTCATGCAACTGCAACATTCACGAAAGCAGTTTTAACATTCAAGCTTTCATCCCTTCTTTTGCAGGACCCTTGAACTCGTGGTTAGACTCATTTTTGCTACCAGATGTATGAGTGCCTTGCAAGTTTGATCTCCCTCTCTCTCTCTCACAAACACAGTGAGATTGCTCTGGTACTCGTAGTAGGCGTAGTAGATGGTGGCGCAAACCGAGACAGAAGCATCTCTAAGTGACACGCATTTGCACATCTCCATGGGGAGTTCTTCCCGCACTCGCAGACAATTCCATGGCCTCGTAGCATTTGCCGCTTTCACTGGGCTTTCTGGAGCCGCGTATGGACCTGGATATAGCATTCCTTTCAATTGGAGGGCCTGCAGGCGGCAGTTGGTGCTTCCCCTTCTTATCTTGACCAGCGAGGAGTCCTTCGCAGAGGAGTCCTTCAACCCTCTCAAGTTAAAAGGCTATTTTTGGGAGACAGGGAAGTTCTATAGTACTGCAGAATCTGCAGACTCTCAGGATATACGGAAAATTCTGTCAGAGCTGACAGAGACAGCTTCCATTCTACAGACACTGGAGTCCACGGTTGCAGACGGAAACTTTGAAGAACTGAAGACGCAGCTAAGAGGCGCTAACTTTTCCGAGAGCCTCTTGAGGATACGTGGTAAGGCTGTTCCTGGGCAGATTTTAGCTTGCTTTTTGCTCACCTGAGGCTTTCTGTCGGGTGGATGCTGTAAGGCAGTGTGGACAGAGAGCTGCTAAGGTTCTCAACATCCTCTCACAGCAAGAGAGCACTGTTGAGGATGATGAAAAGTTCCGGGACGTGCAACAAGCCTATGTCCTTTTGGGCTTTTTGGCAGAACTTCAAGTTGAGTTGTCGCGGTAAAGCTAGGTGGTGGTTCCTCCTTAGGCATGAGTGCCGCAATCTGAAAGGTTTGATAATTGTTTTCAAGAAAGCCACATGGGCCTCCTTCTACCAGAGGTTCTGTGATTCTTGAGCATTACTCTGATTATTGTTGTCATTGTTGTTTGAGCATGTTGGAATCCTGGAAGCGGGTGATATCTTGAGGCCAAGAGCTCAATGGCTTGAATGGAGCGATTGATTCGGCCACGGTGGACTTTAGCCGTGGAGCATTGCAGCTCATCGTCAGCGAGACGGAAAGGGCTGTAAAGGATGAGCAGGACAAGCTGGTTCAGTCATGTTTACTTGAAGATGAAACGCACGTGATGCATTTTGAAAGGCAACAAACAATGTCTAAATGTATAACATTGTTTTTTGCACTCTATTTGACAGTCTGAGGGAAGTACTTCGACAGTATTTTGACGTACGTGGCTTTGGACGTTGGCGAAAGAGTGAGAAGAAACTTGACTAGGACCTGGCCTGGAATCTTGTCGCAACTTTGCGATCAGCTCGCAAACGCTTACAGAGCTTTGTCGAGCTGGCAGAAGCAGCCCGGGACAAGTGACAGAGCCCAAAACATGGTCCATGCAGATGCGCGCACTTGCCTTGTCAGCCTGCAATGTAGGCCAAGAGGGAATCGTGTTCGACAAGCTTTCGTGCCACATATAGAGTTTCAATGCAGTTCAGGTACAACTGGGTGGCAGTTTCCTGTCGCTCGCTCAATGCTAGCGGTTTATGAAGTCCACAGGAGACGTTTGCTTGTCCAAAACTGGTCACATTCACCACACCCTTCGAGGCTCCGATTTGTCCTTGTCATTCTTTGATGTGGACAACTCCTTAAAGCTTAATTCTCAGAGCTTCTTTGAGCTTGTCTTTGAGTGCCGTTTTGCGGTCTTTTTACACATTCGCTGAAACGCAGGCTGGTCAGGCGCGTGGAGACCAAAACTGCACAGCTGGTTCTTTGCTGGTGCCAGGCCTTACGGCAGCCGCAATGGTTGAAAAGCCTTGAGAACCTGATTGACTTGAACAACAATGCAGCATACACAATGTGTTTGCGTGCAAGGCTGCAGAAGTCTTGTTCAGCGCAGACCATGAGGGAAGGCCACCTTGCCACTGTCTCTTGTTGCTGTGCGAGTTTGATGATCACGACAGGATATTGTCGTGGAACATGCACAAGGCACATCGGCAGCACGCGACACATCGTTTGAACAACATGCACTTCGTAGTTGTGGATTCCATGACACACATACTTTGAGTTATGAGGTGAAATTTGGAGCATTTGATCCGCCTTGAGCCCAGCTTTGTGTATTCTTTTTGGTTTGGACATCTTCACATATTGGGTAGCAGCACAACATTCCTGGTATATGTTCAAGAGCCATTTCATCAGATTATGAGTCATCAAGTTTGCTATTACTTTGGCCACAAGGTTTCTGCTCTGCATGCAAATGTTATTTTACCACTGGCAGACACGTTTGGTAAATCCTTGTTGGCAGTATTTCTGCAGATTGATTCAGGGAAACGAATGAAGAGAAGCGAGATCCGACTTGGCGGGACTTCATGAAGGTGGGGTGGTGGACAGCTGCGCTGTGAGTTTTTGGGACGATCTCCAACGTGTGCAGCGCAGCCATGATGCCCAATCAGCTCTGGTGGTCAGCAGAGCGAACCAGAGCAAACAGTGCATTTGTGTCAAGGCAAGAAGTGTGACAACTGATCACCGATCATCCTTGCCTATACCAGAAGCCCAAGACGCATTGCCATGGGGAACATGCCTTCGCAGCATGCACTTTTGTGGCTTTGACGCATGGAGAAGGGAGCCAGAAGGGGATTAGTTTTGTTCCAGACGGCTATTTCCCACCACGCGAGATATCATTACATGGAGTTTGTGGTATGTGATTCCATGTGTGCGGTTGATCTGAAGGAATCTAGTAGCTTCTTGCCAGTAGCGATGCCCTTGTTACAGTAGTGATGCACCTTGCACAAGGCATCCGCACTTGGCTTCAATGCCCCTTTCAGCAGCCTTGGCGCCAGAGATGAGGGCTGCATTGAGTGAATACGATCCGAAGGCCGCAGCGCGGCGCGGCGCGGCGCGGCGCAGGGCTGAACACAGACAAAGAGGAAGTCGAGCTGAGGCCTCAATGGGCTGAACCTGTTGATGACTAACCTAAAACAAGTTCACCCAGTCCAACCCCCACCCTATTGAAATAACATCAAAGGAGGAATTGCGGGAGAACGCTGGATAGCAAGAGGCATGGCGAATCTGGTCAACATGAACAGCAGGACCAAGTTTAGTCAGAAACATATTAAAGTCTAGCCTTTCGATTACTCTGAGATAATCTGAAACATCTCCACTATTTGCTAGTGCTTGCAGCAACATCTAGTCGAGGCTGCAATACAACGTGCCTCAACTGCGTTTGATATGATCGCTTTGTCTTCCTGGGAAGTTAGCAGAGCAAGGTCATTCATGTCTTCAGAAACAGTTTTTTTCGCTTTAAACTTGAACACGGGAAGTTTGTCGGGGGGGAAGTGAGCTCCCTTCTTGATCTTCTTGAGACAAGCAATCTGCAGCTTCTAACACTGAGTCAAGATGATTGAAGGTTTTCTCGCCTCGCATCAACAGGTTTTGCACCGCCTCGCATCTGGGTCAACATATGCACAGCTACCTTGCAATCTGTCTAGAAACCCCCAAACCCAAAGACTCCTGGTTTCAAGTCCGAGCTCTGCAACTTGAAGGATTAGCTGAGTGCCACTTAGAGGATGTCTTCTCCTTGCCGCTGCTTTGCCCCAACTTCTGCCAGCAACTGCGGGAGGAAGTCCAGTATTTCCGACAGAGAGTGGAAGGTGAAGGAGAGATCTCGCCAGGCGCAGGGCAACAGGGACAGCAGCGAGCACGACACACATCTACCCTTTTTGAACAGGCACATTTTCGGAATATTGAAATATAGGTGGAGAATTCTTGCTAGCTAGCCCTCAGGCGCCTCCGAGCGTCGTACCCTAGTTAGTTCGCTAGCTAGCCCTCTTGCAGTGAAAGCAGCGTTTAATCCCAGGGCTTCTATTGAGCTCCAGATGGTACCTCTACCAAATCAATCCTGGCTTCAAAGTCCTTTTCGACCAGCTGCTCCAAGATCCTTGGCAAGAGTTCCGTGGTAAGAAGATATCATAGGCACCCGACCAGCTGATCCCAATACTGCTGGCATTCACGTGCGCAATTCATTGGCCCTTTACTTGTCTCCTGAGAATCTAAGGAGGTCTTAACGCAGATTGACCACGCCTTGATCCCATCAGAGACGCACCAGATTGCATACCATCAAGCGTATTGCATCAACTACGAGGCCGCACAATTCGTGCACATGTGTCTTCACCCCTGAAACGAGACCCACCACCCAACATGAGAGAATTCAATGTTTTACCCTACATGTCATATCATGCAATGAGAGATCTTTCCCGTCTGTGGACCTTTGATGGAACACATAAGACTATTGTATTGTCAGCTGGACCTTTGTGTGAAAGAATGAATGCTGAAGAGGAGGACAGAGATCTTTCACTGAAAGCTCACACTGATGATTCTGATCTTACGGTGAATGTGCTCCTTGGTTGTATGTGTTGCGTGCAAGGGTGAGAGGATCCATTTGAAGCAAAGCCTCTTCCAACTTCTGGGAAGAGCTGTCACGAGCAACGAGTTTTCTTCTTCATGTATAATATGTGTTTATCCTGGACTGAAAGCACCGAGCGCACTGTCGAAAGCAGAAACGATGCCTTTACAGGAACAAGCAAGCACTTGATAAAACAAATCATCGGAGGGCAGGATCTTTCACACCACCTTTGAAACATCTGCCGCATCTGCGAGGTTTCTGGGCATCCCAGGCTTTGAGGGCGCGGAGCTACTTTTGCTGGAACCCACCCCCGAGGATGTCGCTGCAGGCACTCCACGCTTGGAACCTGGTGTCTACAAGGCCAAAACGTCGGATGCTCACCAGGTCTAGCTGAGTATAGCTGATGCTTCATGTTCCCTCATGCACTTCATGCCCGCCATTTGCACCTTTTTCTGGGCTCAGTGATCATTCAGGCCTCACTTTCTGCTTGGTTTGTCGCGTTCCGGCTGCAGGGTGGCATCACAGAGTATCATCACCGAGCTGTTGGTACAGCCGTCCTGCATCCGGGAGATCGCTGGCATGCAGTGCAGCCACTGAAGTCTGGGAGTCGTTGGACTCTTGGAGATAGGAAAGACAATGGAAGTCGAAATCACGACCTAAGACCTAAGACCTAAGACAATTCAAAAGGGTTATGTGTTTGTCACAAGGAACCCCCTTCACAATATAGAATTAGGTATGTATGTATGTGTATAAATGAACACTTGCACGAGGGATGCTGGTTTTCTACAGCCAGTAAGCCTATTCTGAGGCAATGTTGCCATATATTCTGTGTTCAAGATATGTGGGGAGTGGGAGTGCATTTTGCAGAATCTTTTCAACTATACACGCAATGTGGTCTTTACTGTACGTCCTTCGAGCCACTGAAATAAATCAAACCTTTCATCTCAACGACAAGTGCCTGCTGACAGGAACTTGATCATCATGGCAATGCGCAATGACAAGGAATGGAAGCGGACATTCTATGATGAAACAAGTGTGCAACTTGAAGAGAAGGCAAAGTTCTTGAAGAAAGGATGAGAAAAAAGAAAGTGTGACAGAAACACCGCCTCATGGCCTCCCACGGCCTGCCTGCGTCAAGTGGTGCAGAAGCAGACGTTGCTGGGTCTACGCTCAAGTTGCTCAACCTGAAACCGCTTTGCCTCGACTCTGGAGTGATGCGTCTGCCTGAGACCCCCCCGACGTTTGCAGAAGACACGACGTTTGCGACGTGGATGTTTGCGCACCATGGGTGTCCAACCATGCCCGATGCACAAGCGCAGAGCTGAAGTGAAGTCCAAGCAAAACGGGCGATGTGCAATGAGGGTGATGAGGTTTTAGAATACAGTCAAAACATGTAAAAGGAGCAACCCAATTGAAGTACACACTAGAAGGAGAGTTGTAATTATAAAGTGTGGAATGTCATGTCGACCGTATATGTTGTTGCAGACGTGCAGGTTCAGTTGTTTTCAGCATTTTGCCAGGATGAAATCTTCAAACAAGATCCGCCGCCGGGGGCTGGACTTGAGCAGCTGCAATGCCTCATGACTCATTGTGTCGCTTCTTTGCAAGGTTGCAATGGAAGAGACTTTGCCTTCCAACGCAGACATGAAATGACATGACTGTGGTTTAAGGATGCGACACATTAGCATTGAGATGCAACGTGAGGAGAGGAGAAGAACGAAACAACAGTTCGCAACGCTTGCAATGCCCCAATGGAGTTGCGTGGCAAACGCATTCATAGTACATGGCATTGCACACAATCTACCTGTCTCATAGCGTTGGAGTGTAGTAACATTGGTATTGTAGGTTGGGTCCTGCTTTATAAATTGTAAGGGCTACGCCCCGTGCCGCCGACCCCAGCGAGGGGGGAGAAGGGTCGTGGTTTCATGTCATCTGGAAATGGAGTAAATAAGACGCCCGCTGAATAAGTGGGACGTGCTGCACAAGCACTGTCTTATTTACTCCATTTCCAGATGACATGAAACCCACGTAAGGTCACGAAGGTGAACTAGACTCAACTGAGTTCCTTGGGGTTGGTACCGGCGACGAATCGTAGACTTGTTCGGGTGGAGGAGTCTTTTGCCGTACTTGTCAGGTGAGGGTTGTTAGATTTTATGCGAGCTGCCTTTCTTCTCCTTCTCCTCCGCTTCGTCCTCCTCCTCGTGCGCGTCGTGTTCAACCGCCAGCCAAAACGCACAACATGCAGCCACAAAAACAAAACAGAGTACAGAACCAACGAAGCACAGCCACGATACAGAAGCACAAACAAACGAACCACGAACTCAAGCACAAACGCAACCACAGCCACGATCACAAACACAACTAGAAACACAATCACAAACACACAGCTACAATCACAAGTCACAAACACACAGCCACAACGCTCAAACACAACCAACACACAAGGATAACAATATATATGATTACCTGTGTGGGTGACATTTTGCGTGGCCGGTGGTCACAGGGTAGCACTGGTGGATGCCAACTGGAGACCCTGGCGGCACCCCAGCGCGAAGTCCCTAATACAAAAATAGCAATGCGAAACCCCGACAAGATCGAACACCACAAAGCTCACGACCAGGGCAACATGCACGTCACCAAAGCGCTTGGGCCCTACTATTATCAAACAAGCTTCAGGGGAATCCGTGGCAACCCGCCTCCACCGTTCTAAGACCTGTCCACGTTGACAAGTTCTTTGCTCGAATTAGCAGTGCGGGAGAGAAGGAGCAAAGTCATTTACGCACACTGCTTCGCACACAAGAAACCTTGCAATGGCGCTGGTTGATTTTAGATGAGTTCAGCATGGTGAGTGCAGAACTGCTCGCGCAATTGGAGCAGCGATGTCGCGAAATCATGCGCGATCTCAGCCTGGCTAAGTTCCGGGACGACGGCGCCGTGGAAGCGTTCGGTGGCCTGAACGTGATTTTGGCCGGCGATTTGTATCAACTGCCCCCCCCGAAAGGAACCTTTTTGGGGGATGTGCCGTGGGACTGGTTGACCGGACAGAGGCGAACAAAACAAAGTACAGGATTGCACGGTCAGACGTTGCTGTGGGGCGGACCGGCAGTGGGCATGCAAGGTGTCACTGAACTCGTACGCTGCGAGCGGACCGCCGACACATGGTTGACCGAAGTGCAGGAACAGCTGCGGTACGGAGCGCTGTCGCAGGACAACCGTGCGTTTCTACACGGACATGGAACCAGCGTGCCGGGAAGCTGGACGAAAGGAGCCCCAGCATGCTGCAGAAGTCTCTGTGGAGCCCTGGTTGGCAAAAGTCCAGAGGAGATCCGCCAACGCGAATGTGTCACTTGCCGCAAAGAGCGTGCGTCCAGGCACTTGGTCGCTTGCGCCAACGACCCGCGCTTCTACCAGGATTTTGCAGAAGCGACTGCCATCTTTGCGACCAACGATATCAAACGTAAACAAACGTCGCGCCGTGCGCTGGGCCATAGAACAGAAGCAAATGCCTCACATCGCGGTGGCGCGAGATGTGGCTTCTGCAACTGTTTTGCAAGACAAACCGGACTTAGCGACCGAAAAGTTGCAGTGGCTGCAGCGCCATGACCAAGAATGTGGTGGCCTGTACGGAGTTCTACCGCTCTGTATCGGCTTGCCCGTGCGTGCCACGGACCACTTAGACCGGCAACGGGGCATTCTGAAAGGATGCAAGGGAACAGTTGTCGGCTGGTCGTCTGCCAGAGATGCGGTCGTCGGAGATGGTGTGACACTGTGGAACACATTGCCGGAGATCGTGTATGTCAGATTTCAAACTACGGCGACATGGCATCTCACGGGGCTGCCCGAAGCCAATGTGTACCCAGTGCCAACCTGCAAAAGAGTGTGGTTCCTAGATCGGCAGAAGAAATACCCGCAGCTGCGCGTGTGGCGCGCCCAGTTTCCGCTAGCACCGGGCTTTGCGATCACCGCTCACGTTGCGCAAGGACAAACGGTGTCAGAAGGGGTCACAACGGACCTAAACATTGGCCTGAGCGGAAACCCTTTCACAGCATATGTTGCCTTCACACGGGTGCCAGGCCGAGACAAACTTCTGCTGTTTCGGCCATTTCACGCGAAGCTCTTCCAGCGCGGGGTCGGTATCGGTCGTGAGCTGCTCCTGCGAGTACTCCGTGGGGAAAGTGTGAATTGGCGCGCGCTGCTGGACGCGTACTGCGAAGAGCGCGGATGCTGCATCTGCCGAGAACGCAAACAAAAAGACGCCTATATACCAGAGGCCAATGGAAACGCAACGATGACGAACGTGTCTGTCGAGAATGCGTCCAAGACAAAGCCACGTCTGGCACCCCATGGCAGTGTAATAATTGTAAAGTCTGGCACGCAGAGGCAAATTTCCCGAAGAAGTACCATCGACCACTGTGTACGTATTATCGCGTGTGCCTGACATGCGAGGTGCGCAAAGAATGCGCCAACTGCGGCGTGCGGCAAGCGGAAGCTGCCTTTGGCACGGCAGCCTGGAAAGCGCGCCATGTGGACCGAAGAGTTTGTCGCGCATGTGCACGCAAGCAACGCGGTTGGTGGCAGTGCCACACTTGTTACGTACGTAAAGAACCCTCCCAGTTTAGCACGTGGCTGGCCAAACGAACTGCGGGGCAGGATGGCCGGCAAATTTGTAACGGTTGCAAAGCTTTGCAAGTGGCCTGTCGCTATGCCGGCCGCGCCAATCATAGACTCGCGCGCCTCCGCGCCCGCGCCGCACAGAACCGTGTCCACGATCGATTGCCGGCGCTCCCCGCCGATGCTACGGCCAGCGGGTCCGAGCTCGAGCGTCGCCGGAGGCTGGTGGCGGAGACATGGGCCGAGATTACGGCGAGACAAGGAGAAACAACAGAAAGGACACAAAAGAAACGCAAGACGGAGACGCCGGCCAGCGACGAGAAGTTGCACCGTGAAGTCCAAGCAAAGAAACAGCATGAGTACGCATGCCCGCATTGTGGTGGCCTGGTCGCAAGCAAT